GAGAGAGAGAGAGAGAGAGAGAGAGAGAGAGAGAGAGAGAGAGAGAGAGAGGTGTGGGCCCCATTTTATTATCAACAAAACATTAAATTAAATAGACAAAAATATAAAAAATATATTAAGAGGGCAATTTAGTCATTTCAATTTTCGGAGGGACAATTTTCACATACAAACTAGGCCAAAAGGAACACGATTCCAAAAAAGTCGTGGTTTGGACTAAAACCCCAAAAAAATAAATACCACATGGACTATTTTTGCAATTTTGTCTTAAATAAATTGAAAGCATACATATAAAAGGAGAAAAAAAAACTTAAATGATAAAAAAAAAAAAAAAAAAAAAAAAAACTTAGATCACCAAATATAACGAATCAAAAATATATTACTCTTTTAAACAGCTTTTTCAACCTTAAAACAACCATCCTACTTAAACCGACAACTTTTTCTTTGTACGCTTTATCTTAACTACTAATATCTTTTACTTTTAATAGGTGGTGGATTTGTGCTTTTATAAAAATCTGAAATTTAATAAAATTTTAAATATTTTCTAATCTGTCAATTTACCAATGGATTATTGACGGAGTTTCGTCGCTAAATTAAAAGACCATGAAATGCATTTTTGACAGTTTGTCAGTAAACAATTACTAACAGTAATCTGTATTCTGTTTGTAATTTGCACTAAATGATTCCTTGGGGAATCCATCACGAAGTTGTTCCGTTGGAAATCCATTTTTTTTTAAAATTAAAAAACTAAAAAACTAGCGATGGATGTTTACTACATCAAATTTGTAGTAAAAAATACGGTCATATTTTTATGGAACAATTTGTTCGTAATCAATCCTTTTACCAAGTATGTGATAGACATTAAAAACGTCTGTCGCTAATTCGCTGTTTATTAGAGAGGAACAATGGATAAGTTTGTCGCTAACGGGACATGTATTATTTGACTTTGAAAGTTGAACAAAAAAAATGATGCATCCCGCAAGTGGATATGATACATCCAACACACAGAAAATTAGAAACCAAAACAAATACTAGATACAAAAGCATAAATTTATCTGCTTATAAATATGATGATATCATCGATCGAAATGTTTCACATTGTAGATTCTTCTTCTTCCTTCCGCTTGTAGGACGTGATTCTTCTTATCATTCTACTTGCCTTAAGATCTGAATTGATGTTTGTACAAGTGTTACATTGGAACTTAAGATCTATGGATTGTCTTGGATAAGTGTTAACCAATTTTAATTTGCAAACCTTACTATATGTTTTGTTTGTGCTACAATATGTGTCGATTAAGATCAGTTTGAAAGAGAATTAAACCTGAAAATATGCTTCAAGTTTTCTCTTTAAAGTGCTATGCTCTTGCTTAACATGTTGAAATGCCATAATACATCTGAAATCAAGCAATCATCATCAAGGGATTAAACAGACGACCTTTAAATAATAGGATATGCTAACTATATACCATTCAGTCTAGTCGTGTGAGGAATACAAATTGAGTGCTGAATAACTGAATTGTTTAACATTGAAAATTACCCCTGGGCATTCCTAGCTTTGCAGCATTCCTGAAACTGATTGCACTCGACCTTCACCTTTTTGGCACCGATGCTACAGATAAAATTTATATAAATTTATAAAAGTCTTCAAATTAAGATACTCATAATTTTAATCTTGTGGGGTTTTAAACTGAAGTATACCTTGAGCTACTACCCTTGAATTGATGCATATAATCATCAAGCTTGCAAAAATCCAGAGGGTGATTCTCCCTGTAAGTACAAGTTTCACTTTCATTACCAATTATGTCGTCACAGGATATATTTGTGACAAAGTACCAACAGAAAATGACCCGATATAAAAAGATACTAGCAACTGACAAGTGTTGGCAAAATAGGTTGCTAAATAGTAAATATCCTTTGTTTGACTTATTATGTACGCGACGTTAAAGGGCTGGAGAAATTAATATATTTAATCAGAAAATAGGATGTTCGGCGGATGGTTGATTGTTACTTACAGTGCGGTTTCTACATTGCGAATTAGTCTCGTTGAATCTGAGTAAAACGATGTGACGATTTCTTCCACAAAATTAGGGTTTGCATCATCTTGTAAATCCTCAAGTTGGGTGAATTGTTCATCTAAATAACCCTAAAAATATTCACATTTATTTCATTTAATTCAGCAAGAACTTCATCTAGCAGTTCAACCAAAACCCAAAACTTTTTACACAGAGAGAGAGAGAGAGAGAGAGAGAGAGAGAGAGAGAATGAATCATGTACATATAAGAAGTGACTTATGGATGACATGGCTCGGGATGCATAAAGTACTTATACTAAAGCAGATATATAAGTTTGGAATATTGCAATGACTAATGTATCTTTTATTTATATTATCTTTCTCTAATTTTCATCGCTTTCAAAAGAAACAATTAGCTCCATACTTATGGGAATTGAGATAAACTTGACGAGAGAAACGATATGTAGCATTAGACATGAACTTATTGTATTTAAAAAACAATATATAAACGTAAAATATAAATTACTTTTATTCTCATTAAACAAATTGTCATGTTCACTTCTAGAACCATATATATAAACGACCTTTTTGAAAAACCAACGAAATAACATCACAAGGGTGAATTTGATCATCATCACATATTGAGGTATTCGTTCCACTTGGTTATACTCATATATATATGAGATTCATATTTAAGCTCTTTTAAGTTATCCTGGGAAAAGCTCAAACTACTTGAAAAACGAGGACGTTATGTTAAATTGCATCATAAACATTTTGCGAAATTTTATTCTAAATCGTCTTTCTTTTAAAAGTGAATATTTTAAAACTTGTGTCCAATCACATTACTCAGCCATGGTAAGTTATAAGCCAATCATGTATGTACCGGAAACCCAGGGGGAAATAGGCTTAGTACCATTTATTTTTTTGTTTACGAGAGAGCATATCGACTAGAAAAAGTATACCAGATTTTTAACTTCTTCACGTGAGATAAAAAATTATATATATATATATATATATATATATATATATATATATATATATATA